GAGTGACTACCCAAGAATGAGGGGCTTGTAGTAGAATGTTAAAGTGAAAAAAGCCCAAGGCCTAAAGGCTCCCCTGTACCGTCTGTCTTTGCCAACAGACGTCAGCTGCATGAGAGTGAGGACCTTGCCCCTAGAGCAGTGCCTAGCACAGAGGAATGTGCCCAGGGAAGATTCATGGATTAAATAAGTACATGATGGATTGGTGGATGGTACAAATAATGAAAATTACTTCCAGATGGTAGTGGGATTTGGGACCCAGCATCTAGTTCATAATAAACATGATGTTTAAAAACACTGATGACCACTTTTCTTACCATCATAGCTGAAGAAAGGAGAAAATATATTCATTAGGGTGTACTTAGAGTCTGGCTGGTGTGATATGAAGGAAACATTAAGACAACAACAACAACAATCTAGCTGTTTGCAGGAGGTGGAATTAACGGCTCACAATACCGCACACCTGCCTGGTGGGGCTCTAAGCTCTCTGAGTCACACATCTGCACTCGTGCTTGCCCGACTACATATTTCCATGAATCCTCAGAGCGATCCAAAGCCAACTTCACACGTTGCACATGGGGTTCAGTGTGATACAATTGTTTCACTGGGGTCCTAGAGTTTAATTAAACAGCTAGGTCCTCCCTGCAGGACATTATCTATTGAAGAGGATAGAACGACATTTGACAACAGACCAAGCCGGACAATGATTAGAACACCCCAAATTTATGGCATGACGGAACATCTGAAACAGAACAGCCCAAAATATCTGCTAGGAAGGGTTGTTTGCCTTGGAAGAGGATAATTTGTAGTTTGAAAGGCATAAATGCACGGACCATGGGGTATTGATTCAAGTCTGAAACAGAGAAGAGTCTATCTGTAGTTATAAAGATACATGGCAAGCATCACTCTTTCTGAAATCTGTTAGTCTTAAAGCTAATTCACACTTCCCTTCTCTGCCGGGTAGCACTACAGAGTATCCAGATCAGAACACTCATATTAAAAGCAATATGCACCTTCATGCTAGACCTCTTACCATAGTGTTGGCATTGAAGTGTTTGTGGTCATGGGTTGCTTTGGGTGACTAACCACCTTGATAGTCCTCCACTTGTTCTGTCTGTCAGTTTCCCTTTTGGAATTTGGGCTCCAATCCAGACACATCACACCCAGCATGCTTTGCTGAATGAGGAGCAGAGCCGGATCATCACTTCCTTGCTGTAGATACTGTCTCCATTTATATAACCGGAGACCACACTAGCTTTTTGTGAACCACATCTCACAACCAACTTGTACTGCAATGTAGTTCACTAACACTCCCGTTTCATCTTCTGAAAGCTAGATCTCATCTCCCCATTCTGTGACAGTGGCTGGTCCTTGTTCTCAAAGAAAAGGCCTTACATGTATTTCAATAAAATTGCGTCCTAAAAGATTTGTAGGATTGGTTCCAATATTCTAACTAAATCAAGATGTGTTGTGATATTATGATTGTTTAATATGTTTCTCTATATTTTTCATCTTCTGTTACCATATTCAGCATTCCATCAATGGGTTTTACATGACCCCAAGTTCAAATGTCACTTTTCAGTGAATTCTTCTCTTACCACTCTATTTAAATGTGATCCAATGAACTTTTTCTCTGCCTTTTTTCTCCATCATATTACCATGTATGTGATCATATAATCATCTAACACATATAATCATCTAACACACCATATATTTTACTTACTCATTTTGTTCATTATCTTTTTGCCTCCTTTAGAATAGAAGCTCTATTAGGGTGACAATTTTTGTCAGTTCTGTTCCCTGCTGGATCCATGTTTGTTGTATGGATGTGGTTGAGTACATCAGCGTCCTATGCAGGTCAGTAAGAATGTGGAACATGACAAAACCAAGACTACAGTACAGCACATTCTACTAGAGGTTGCTGCCCCTGACCACATTTCTGTCAATCCATCCATCTGGGAGTTCTCTTCCCCCTTAAAAGAAAGGAAGTGGGGTTCATCTGACATAACTGATCACTTCCTTTTTCTAACTGCACACAAATCATTCTTTCAATGACCCATTTTAAACCCTGCTTGAGAAGGGCACGGCATTAATCAGTGGCCTGTCCAAACCCCTCGATCTCCTGGAAAGGGGGTCCTTCCAGATGTGTGGTCCCTCCAGGTGAGGTCCTCACGGCCAGGGCGCTGCGCTTGCTCAGAGTGGGCCTGGGCTCCCTGGAGAGTGCGCAGTCATGTTGGCAGCAGCACCGTGAGGCTCAGATGTTATTTGTTGTGTTGCATTGGAATATCACATCCTTTCCCACCCCATAACTCTCCCCCCCCCCAGGTTTTAATTTTGCAGTTTATAAAATAAAAATGGTAATATAGTTTTCTCAAAAATATACTAGGGTACTTTACTGATTATTATTTATTTATACCCAGTTGCTTCATGTAGACAATAAAGATCCGAAGTTTTGGATATGTTTAGTTTATTTCTGTTGTTCTTTGATCTGAAGGGTGTATATATCTTCTATCCACCTCACATCTGGAAGGACCTCCTTTCCCCCATTCTTGCTAATGCAGCTGTGGTTTAGGCCCTTGTCATCTCAGCACTGAATGATCACAGTAGCCTCCTAACTGGCTTCAGGACTCCATCTCTTGCTTCTCCATCTCAGGCTCTTCCATCAGGTTAGTTTCTTGGAGCCCAGCTACTTAAAATGTGGTCTATGGACCACAGCAGCAGCACCTCCTGGGAATGTGTTAGAAATGCGGACTTTCAGACCCCACCCTGAGCCTATAATTCAGAATCTGTCAACAAGGCCTGCGATGATTCATACCCATGAAAGCTTGAGAGCACTGTCCTCTCTTCTCTCATACCATCCCCCCACCAGGCGCCTCGGTCAGCTTCACATTGAACCTGTCTCTGTCAGGAAGGCTCCACCTTAATTCAAAGGTGACATACTTTTGACATGAGATATTTTTGACACTGTCTATTACATTGATGGTGTCAAATTGGAGGGAGGAGCGGGGGTGAGTCTCAGACACTGGGGTAAGGACTCCGCACAACCTCAGAGCCCTCTTGCTTAGCAGGCTGAGGGGCCATGAGCAAGTTTATCTAGATAACTTTGGAACAATTATAGAAATTATTGAGATTCAACTTAAGTGGAATCCTTCTGGTAAAAGCAAAGAATATTGGGTGTTGATGAGTGAACGTTAAGGAGTGCTCGGGAAGCATCTATGATGAGTTGTTGGAAATCTTGTTAATTGGACACAGTAACAGGCATTTTATAGACTTAATTTAATCCTCACAATAATCCCATTTAGGTGGGTGGTATTATTCCTATTTTACATGCGAGGAAACTGATTCTCAAAAAAGTGAGGTTGTCCATAGCCAAAGTATTGGTTAGAATTCAGGCTGCAGCATGGTAACAAAGACTCCAAAATGCAGTGGTTCACAGTGGCTCTGTCCTGAGGTGGACAGGGACCCCAGGTGGGAGGCATTGTTGCTTTATGAGGTCACCCAGCTTCCTTCTCCTGGGTCGCTTTGTCATCCCCAAAGGTGTCCACATCCATGTGGTTGAATCTGTTCCTGCCCTTGGGAAGGGGGAAGGGAAAGTGAAGAGCACGTATTTTCTTAGGAAAATATATGCCAGAAGTTCTACCTGCTATTTACACTCCTGTTCTGTTAGTCAAATGGCCTCCTTGGTTGCAAAAGAGGCAAAGGAATGTTGTAACCTGAGCAGTTATTTACTAAAAAGAAGATGGGGGGATGGCTACTAGGGGACAATCGCAAGCTTTGCCACAGGCACAGAGATTCAAACTCCAAGACTAAAACCTGTGATCTTTTCACCGCATTAATCCACCATTTCTCATAGTTGACAGTCAGTAAATATTTGTTGACTTGAGGTAGATTGAGATAGTACCTGTGAGCCTTTTGGTTATTTGAAATTATTTCTTCCTTCTTCCTTGCCTCCCTGATTACCTAAGTGGCTCTGTGCCAAATTGTCACTATTTTTGATGATATCAATTTGTAGAACAGGAAGCTGATATTCATCTTCCTTTAGGAGAAATGTGATAATAACCCACCAGTCCTTAGACATTCTGTAGAACCTTATGAGGTGTGATAAAAGGTTAGTGATAATGACCAAATGACCATCCCCTTTAAGGTAGGTATCTTCTTAGGAGAATGCCATTGCTCAAAATATTTTTGGTATTTTGTGTTGGCTGGTAGGTCAGTGAACTCTTGCTGCAGTAATGCTTCATGACAACACCCAAATCTCAGAGGCATGCAATAATGAGCATTTCCCCAATGCGCCTGTGGGTCTCCTTGGGGTCACTATTTGGGATGGGCCCGCAGGCCAGCTCTGCTCCACGTGTCTCTCACTCTCCTTCGGAGACAGCAGGTTAGCTTGGATATATTCTTTTTCCAACAGTACCAGAGGCATCAGAGAATAAGTGGAGATATATTGGGCATGGCCAAAAAAAAGTTGGGAACCACTGCTCTACACCTTAACCAAGAGGAACTGTAGTCACATGGGAAAGGGGATGAATACAGACTGGGTGAAGAGTTGGGGTCAAGAATGCAACCTACCATGGATTTGCCTTTCGTAAGTTATTTTGAATATCCACAATTATGGCAAATTTTTATCTCTTAAGGGAGCTTTGAAAGTTTTTTTAGTAGAATAGCTAAGTTTATGAATAAAATTAGTCTAGTTTTATCATTGGACAGAAAGATAACAGTTTAAGTGCATGACATACAATAATGAAATTTATTTCTAGAAAAACTGGCTCAAGAATATGGCATTCAGGGGCAGGATAGTTGGAATAAATGTACAGCCTTCCAAGGTAATCAATTGATTGACAGAATAACACTAATTGATTCTAAAATAATTTTTAAAACATAAATAAACCTTATGACTTGTGGTCATAGGGTACCAGTTTGTCTCAAAGTGGGAAGGGGACTGAACGGGGGCTCCCCTCTGGTCTCTCCCTGGACTAACCCTGGGCAATGTGCTTGATGTGCAGATTCTCACCGCCAAGTCCCCGCTGGCTCCCTTCGCCTCCTTCGTCTACACCATCGAGAAGGAAGGCCTGGTTCTTCAAGGTAAGATGCTTGAATGAAGCCATTTCTCTAAGCTGATTGTGCTCAGTGGTGCCCATTGCTGGTGATAATTACTGCTACGCTCCTGATTGGAACGACTTCAGAACAGAATTAAAGTTCAAGAGGAACTGGCCAGTGGTCTTTATCCTGGTGAGATGAAAGAGATTGGCAATTGTGGCAAGAATTTGAAGAAGGTGGTTGTGGGGCTTAGAGAGAACTATAGAATTTTCTAATAGAATAAGGGTCAAACCAAGCAGGCTAGGAACTGCCACCGCCTAGTCCTCTCACAGATCCTGGAGTGAGGAGCAGGGGTGAGTCTCAGACCCTGGGGTGAAGACTCCGCACCACCTCAGAGCCTCTTGCTTAACAGGCTGGAGGACCTGTGCTCAAGTCCCGACTGGGGGCCAGGCCTCGCTGGCCTCCACCTTATGACATGGGCCTGGGGCTCAGAAGGCACTGAGTCCTGGCTCGTGGGAAAGCACCCAGGAACCACTGGTCTGCTCTGGTGGTTCGCTCCCAGATGCTGGATCCTCTGGCAGGTAGGAAAGGTGTCCAATCACAGGTCTGCCCAGAAAACAGTGAACACGAGATCGATTCAGACACTAATGAACTTAGCCCACAGGGTCCCAAACTGCGTGGTCCATTGAGAAGCTTCCCCACAGAAAATCTCAGGATACACATCTGTCCCCCACTGCCAGGCAGGAGGCCTTGCCCACAGAGATGCCCAGTTGGCCATGTAGCCTGACCCACGGAGGACCACACTGTCATTGCTGTCTGTGGGAGCACTGTCTGCCCCATAGGATTTATGAGTTGAGCATTTTCCCAGGTTTGTGAAACAGGGCGAGTCTGTATAACATCCCAGGGAGACACAGTGCACTGCAGAGATCCAGCCGGAGTTGTGTGGGGCAGGCTGGAGCGTCCGTGCTTCTGTCCGCGCACAGGCTGCAGCCTTCCCTTTCCTCCCCTCTGAAAGCGCCGCTTCGTCATGGACCCGAGAGCAGTGTGTTTGTTTGGTGCAGCTGAGCTCCTCAGCAGGGACTCGGGGCCGGGGAAATTTGGGGTAAGAACTACTGACCTTTGGCTCTTAGCCTTTGACTTATGCTATCCAAGTTCCTTGGTAAATATTGTTTTTACAATTGCAAATATTGTTTTCTGACAAAGAAGCCGAGATTTTAAGACCAGATTAAGCAAAGCAAACAGCAGGCCCCTTTGTTACATAGTCTCTGAGGGTGTATAACTAATAAGCCATCAGAAGGCTGGAGTTTTATTTACCCAGGGCACCGTGTGGCTTTGGCTCTTCGTTTTTAGAGCCTTTCTTAAAAGATTAAAAGTCTACTAAATAGCAAATTTAGATGAAGATTTCAAGAAAATCTGTGGAAGATCAGGAGACAATTTCAAGGGGGGGTGGGTCGGGGGGGGGGGGGGAGAGCCAGTTCTACCCAGATGCCTTGTGTTGAGAATCCTGACCCCTGGGCATTGTGGTAAAAGGCATGGCTACGCCGGGTCTAGTTTGGAGAACTTTTAGGATAGTGTTTATGGAAACAACATCCACAGGGTTGCCTCTTTGACACCCATTGCTAGGATCGTGACTTTGACGGGAAAGATGAAGTTGTTAGAGAAAGTAGAGGGTGGAATTGCAATCAATCGGTAGAGGTTTAAAAAACTACAAGGAAAGGATATTAGAAAAAGTTGGAAAACAGGGGAGGAAGTGAGTTACTAAATGAGGCGGACCTGGAGTTGTGTGTCTGGGAAAGAAAAAACTCAGGAAGGTGTCCGATGATCCAAGAACCCCAAGGGATAAGGGAAAATGTCTGAGGGGCTGCAGAGCCTCACCTGGTTGCTTTGAAAGCTGATTTATCCATCCCACTCCCTCAAGCTGCACCTCCATCTCCAGTTTTCCCAGGAAGCAAAACCCTTCGGCCCCTGTCAGCAATGCCTCTGAGTACAAACCTCTGGGCAGGCCCTTTCCTCCAGCTGCGTGCTCCCAAGACTTTGGGAAAATCAAAAGCTGTGACCCTCAGGAAAATGGGGGCCCCTCCTTTATTGGAGAGACCCCCTTGGATATCTGTTCCAGCTCTGGTGTGATCTTGAGAAAATATAATTCTGTCAGCTTGAAAATGACAGTGTTGACCTGGATTCAGTGCATGGCAAATTGTGTCACAACCCATTCCTGAGTGATAAACTGAAATGAATGAGTCACAGCCAGCATATTGTATTGTTTCATGAACTATTTGTTATGTGATTGTGTGTGTGTACGCGCGCATTTTCAATTTCTGCATGGAGGTTGCAATGCAAATGTTTTTCTTCCTTGGATTGTAGTCACTGGCCTGGACCATCTGTAAAGGCCTTCCCAACGTCAGCCGTATCTGATTCTCCCAGGAGATGGGGTACTTATCGTTCACTCAGCCCAGGAGAGCTATCTCCTTCAGATCTCCACACACGGGAACATGAAAGCTGATTTCCCTCCCCCACTCTTACCAGATGACTGAGCTAGAAAACACCTGCACATTTCCCAGGATTAAAGCAAAGAAACCTTTGATCCCTGGGTGGTAACCTTGGAAAGGTACCAGCCGTCGAGGCCAATAAGCTTTTTTTGTGTGAGGGGTTGCTCTGGCATGATAGCCCTAAGTTGGCATGGAGGTTGGTACCGAGAGCTGGGGGGACAGTGTGGCATTCCTGCCTAGGTGGCAGAGAGGGGAAGGGCAGGAAGATGAGGGTGGTGCCAGCTAAAAGAGGAGCTGCCAGCCCTGCCACCTGTGGCTCTACTGTGGTGATGCAGCCTGGAAGAGTGGAAAGGAGAAACCCAAACAGGCGAATTTGGGAAGGATCCCTCAGTGCCTTTCATCCCCTTAGTAAGCCCCAAGATTCCTGCTGCCTGCTAGGCGGAGGTTGTATAATACCTGCCAAGCTCGAGCTCCCGAGTGCATAGTAGAGGGAGGGAAGAAAAGGTGAGGCCAACATTCAATTTCCCTGCTCTGCAGGCCACTCCTCTCACCGGTTTTCAAGGATTAGGATGCTGGGAGCAGCGGGCCATGGGGCCTGATACCCTTCCCCCACCTTTGTTCACTGGGCCGGGAGGGACAATAAACCGGCAGGCAGGAGACACTGAGGGGCTTGCTTAGAGATTTCTTAGGCTGCTTTTTGAAACACTTGAAGGAGCTGGTCCATGCTATTGTTGTAGTAAAATGGAGAGCGGAACTATTCTCCTTTTGCGGGAAAAGAAGAAAAGGTAAAAGAAAGAAAACCCACCCTCCCAGCATCTTCAGAAGGCTCCCTGGCTCTGGCCATTGCCATGGTAACCCCTCTGTTTGCATCTCCTTTGTCTTTGTGCACTTGTTGGGCATCCTGGCCTCTCAGGGTTGGGCCCAAGACCTGGGAAATACTTAGGCCCCAAAGGAGATGGAGCTCACAGCCACCAGCTTCTGATGGTTTGACTCTGAGAGGGGCCAAGTCCCAGCAGAGGGAGAGTTCAGCTTATTTGTGCAACTGAAGTGGAGAGGTGAAGGGGTAGGTGCCGTTAATCCATTTTAACGTTGTCCCCAGAGCTCGCCATGAAACCCTCAGCACCGAGAGTGGAAAAGCTTAGAGGCGTGGCCAGCCCCGAGGGAGGCCAATGGGTGCCAGGACCAAGTGCAGAGGGAAAAGCAGGGTGGGCCCACAGAACCGCACGGTTGCAGGAGGGAGGGAGAGTTTACGGGCTCCAACATGACTCACATCTGCTCTGGTTTTATCCATTGTTTCCCCAGGAAGCCCCAAGTGTTATGCCACCCAGAACACAGCTGGGACCCCTGGGCCTCTGCATCAAGGCCAGGAATAAAGATTCTGTCATTAAAAGCAGCCAGGCTGGCCCGGCCAGTGTGGTTCAGTGGTTGAGTGTTGACCTATGAAACAGGAGGTCACAGTTTGATTCCCAGTCAGGGCACATGCCTGGGTTGCTGGCTCGATCCCCAGTAGGGGGCATGCAGGAGGCATCTGGTCAATGATTCTCTCTCATCATTAATGTTTCTACCTCTCTCTCCCTTTCCCTTCCTCTCTGAAATTAGGAAAAATATATTTTTTAAAAAATTAAAAAGCAGCCAGTCTGTGTGGCTGATGGTGCAGGAAGCCTGGGGAATCTGGGACCATCCAGGCTTTTGTGGGGCTCCTCCTGGCTCACTCTGCCTTTGCTGAGCTCTCCTTTTCCTGGGGGCCTGAGGGGCATTTGAAACACAAAAGCCAGATTGCTTTAAACAGGACAGAAGATAATGGCTTACTTTCTCAGCAGGACAGAATTTTTTTTTACATTGTTTTTATTTTTTAATCAGGATCAGGTATCGCAGGTTGAATTTGGATTCTGGGGCTGTCCTCTGCTAGTTTAGGTTCGAGTGAGCTGAATACACCTTGGGATGGAGATGGGGAACCTAAGGAGAGCCCGGAGTCCCTGAGATAGATCCAGAGAAGGTGCTGGAAACAAAGCCAGTTTCCTGTTTTCCTAACCACCTCGTGTAGGGGCTTTGAAGAAAGCAGAAAACAAAGAGGTAAAACCATGATTTTTTTAAGAGCTGGAGAGCCATGGCTTCATCTTTCTTGTAAATGCAAGGGTGGATGTTTGATTGCCTTTTAAAGCATATTGGGAGGGACATTAATCTCCTCTGTTTGTTCCCTTGTCACAAAGTTGGGTTAGATTCTTCTGCTCCATTTTCTTAGTCACTGAGCCAACAGGATGATTTATGGAAAAATTCTTTCCCCCCAAATACCACCATCTGAGTTCATCAGATTTCAGTCTGAATCAGTAACCCATCTAAATGTTTTCTGCCTGGTGGACTCAGGGTGACCCAGAAGATTCTCAATCTGATTCCATCCAGGTATGAAGGTGTCTGCCTGGTAAACACCACCCACATACTTGGTACAGCCTGGCATTCTCGTGGGAGCCTGGGCAGAGAGCCCTGGGAGTCAGTGGAGCAGAGAGAGTGAACTTCTCGCCCAGGGGTCACAGAAAAGAGAACAGAGCAGGCCTGGTGCAC